CCCAGGTTGGGAACCAGGAGTTCCAATCTCTGGGAACCGGCAGTTCCTTGCAATGGTAACCTGTGGTTCCCACGTTGGCAACCGTGAGTTCCAACCTTTGGAAACCGGCAGTTCCTTGCCATGAACCAAACGCAAACATTCCGCTACCGGTCCATTAAGCAAAACAAAAGGTTCTGTTACCGGCTCAGTAAACAAAACAAAACAACATTAAGAACCATAAGTTCTAACTTTTTGCAATCAACAGATCCTTCCACTGGTAACGTTACTTTTTCAGGCTTGGAACCATGAGTTTCAAGCTTTGGGAACCCGCAGTTCCTTACAATGAAAGCCGCTTAGCTTCGAAAACATAAATTCTAACTTCTGGGAACCGGCAATTCCTTGCAATGGTAACCTCTGGTTCCCAGGTTGGGAACCGTAAGTTTCAAGGTCTGGGCACCGGCAGTTCCTGGCCATGGTAACCTATGGTTCCCAGGTTGGGAAGCATGAGTTCCAACCTCTGGGAACCGGCAGTTGCTTGCAATGGTAACCTCTGGTTCCCAGGTTTGGAACCATGAGTTCCAACCTCTGGGAACCGGCAGTTCCTTGCAATGGTAGCCTGTGGTTCCCACGTTGGCAACCGTGAGTTCCAACCTTTGGAACTGGCAGTTCCTTGCCATGAACCAAACGCAAACATTCCGGTACCGGTCCATTAAGCAAAACAAAGCGTTCTGTACCGGTCCATTAAGCAAAACCATAAAATTGTAAAGAAACTGTTTTCATATCATTTTGACATGCACCTTTTTCGTGCAAAAACATTTTTATGCCGGCCCAACAGCCAAACGCAAACATTCCGCTACCGGTCCATTAAGCAAAACAAAAGGTTCTGTTACCGGCTCAGTAAACAAAACAAAACAACATTAAGAACCATGAGGTCTAACTCTTTGCAATCAACAGATCCTTCCACTGGTAACATTACTTTTTCAGGCTTGGAACCATGAGTTTCAAGCTTTGGGAACCCGCAGTTCCTTACAATGATAGCCGCTTAGCTTCGAACACATAAATTCTAACTTCTGGGAACCGGCAATTCCTTGCAATAGCAACCTCTGGTTCCCAGGTCGGGAACCGTAAGTTTCAAGGTCTGGGAACCGGTAGCCTTTGGTTCCCACGTTGGGAACCATCAGTTCCAACCTTTAGGAACTGGAAGTTCTTTGCAATGGTAACCTATGGTTCCCAGAGGCATGAGTTCCAACCTCTGGGAACCGGCAGTTGCTTGCAATGGTAACCTCTGGTTCCCAAGTTGGGAACCAGGAGTTCCAACCTCTGGGAACCGGCAGATCCTTGCAATGGTAACCTCTGGTTCCCACGTTGGCAACCGTGAGTTCCAACCTTTGGGAACCGGCAGTTCCTTGCCATGAACCAAACGCAAACATTCCAGTACCGGTCCATTACGCCAAACAAAGCGTTCTTTACCGTCCCTTAAGCAAAACCATAAAGTTGTAAAGAAACTGTTTTCATATCATTTTGGCATGCACCTTTTTCGTGCAAAAACATTTTTATGCCGGCCCAACAGCCAAACGCAAACATTCCGCTACCGGTCCATTAAGCAAAACAAAAGGTTCTGTTACCGGCTCAGTAAACAAAACAAAACAACATTAAGAACCATGAGGTCTAACTCTTTGCAATCAACAGATCCTCCGCTGGTAACGTTACTTTTTCAGGCTTGGAACCATGAGTTTCAAGCTTTGGGAGCCCGCAGTTCCTTACAATGATAGCCGCTTAGCTTCGAAAACATAAATTCTAACTTCTGGGAACCGGCAATTCCTTGCAATGGTAACCTCTGGTTCCCAGGTTGGGAACCGTAAGTTTCAAGGTCTGGGAACCGGCAGTTCCTTGCCATGGTAACCTGTGGTTCTCACGTTGGGAACCATCAGTTCCAACCTTTAGGAACTGGAAGTTCTTTGCAATGGTAACCTATGGTTCCCAGGTTGGGAAGCATGAGTTCCAACCTCTGGTAACCGGCAGTTGCTTGCAATGGTAACCTCTGGTTCCCAGGTTGGGAACCAGGAGTTCCAACCTCTGGGAACCGGCAGTTCCTTGCAATGGTAACCTGCGGTTCCCACGTTGGCAGCCGTGAGTTCCAACCTTTGGTAACCGGCAGTTCCTTGCCATGAACCAAACGCAAACATTCCGGTACCGGTCCATTAAGCAAAACAAAGCGTTCTGTACCGGTCCATTAAGCAAAACCGTAAAATTGTAAAGAAACTGTTTTCATATCATTTTAACATGCACCTTTTTCGTGCAAAAAACATTTTTATGCCGGCCCAACAGCCAAACACAAACATTCCGCTACCGGTCCATTAAGCAAAACAAAAGGTTCTGTTACCGGCTCAGTAAACAAAGCAAAACAACATTAAGAACCATGAGTTCTAACTTTTTGGAATCAACAGATCCTTCCACTGGTAACGTTACTTTTTCAGGCTTGGAACCATGAGTTTCAAGCTTTGGGAACCCTCAGTTCCTTACAATGATAGCCGCTTAGCTTCGAACACATAAATTCTAACTTCTGGCAACCGGCAATTCCTTGTAATGGTAACCTCTCGTTCCCAGGTTGGGAACCGTAAGTTTCAAGGTCTGGGAACCGGCAGTTCCTTGCCATGGTAACCTTTGGTTCCCACGTTGGGAACCATCAGTTCCAACCTTTTCTATCTGGGGTCTATGCCGGTGTAATTTTTTTTTTATGACAACCATTGAGCTCGAAACTTTGCTTGACATGAATTCTGGTTGTTTAAGGCAATCGCAGGCACAGCCCGATATTCAACTTTTATACATTCACTGCCAGCTGTCCCAACTTCTCGAGCACCTCTGCGCCGGCCTGCTTCCTCCAGACCGCAGACCACAGGTACTGCCAAAGAGCTTGGCATCTTTATGAGTGTGGAGCTGTCGAGGGGGTGGCTTCTTCAAGTTCACACGAACGTTAACATCCCCGAAGGAGTGGGGCAGCGTAGCATTACGTATGTGTGGAAGTGCAGTGCAGCAGCGTAGCATGACGTATGTGTGGAAGTGCAAGGGAACGTGCAGCAGCGTAGCATGTGGGGAAGCGCAAGAGAACATACTGTGTGGTTGCAGTCGCAATGAGCGTTAACATCCCCCCCACCCCCCCTCACCCCCCCCACCCCCCAAACACCCAGCCAACAAACACAAAGACAACAAGCACACAGAAGAAGAGAAAAATGAAGACAGCACACGGCCCCTTAACAGCGTCGACACCCAAAACATTATTTCAGTTTTTTCTTTTGTTTTCAGCAAATCACCAAGACCATCCTGCCAAACCCAGCCTGTCTCAAATCGCTTTCCTGAAAATTAGCAGCAAGGAGACTGTAAATTTTGTTCCTCAACATGGAACACGGTTGTTCCTCAAATTATGGCGTGCTTGCGCAAAGGAATGCAATAGTCATGGATTAACATTTTTTCACCCGAAATTTTGTTTGCGGGGCCAAATATTCCATTCCAACTGTAAGGTGGGATGTATTGGGATGTTCTATATTTTTTTTAACGTTTGGAAAAACATGGTTTTGGCAGTTTCTTATTGCTAGAGTACGAAAAGAGGTGACTTTTGATGGAATTTACAGCGTTTGTAGGGACCCCCAATGATGGGCCCCATGCCCATAATATCCCATAATCTTCCCATACTACTCCCATGCCACCAATAATATCGGAAGATTATGGGCATGCGGGTCCCATCATTGGGTGTCACTATAAATTCTATGGACTTTTCAGAGGACCTGCAGAGATTGCAGGAACTTTGAACCTTCTCCTGCAACAATCTATCATGGGCATTTGGGGTTTTCTCTGCGGGAAAATGTCTTGATTCACCAAGTATGCCCATATTATATATATATATATACAGATACATATGTATATGTGTATTTATATCTGTATCATACTATATATATATATATCTGTGTTTGTATGTATGTGTATATGTAATTAGACATGTATGTATGTGTATATGTAATTAGACATGTATATATGTATATATGTATATATGTATATATGTATATATGTATATATGTATATATGTATATATATATGTGTATATGTGTATATGTGTATATGTGTGTATGTGTGTATGTATGTATGTATGTATGTATGTGTGTATGTGTGTATGTGTGTATGTGTGTATGTGTGTGTATGTGTGTATGTATGTATGTATGTATGTGTGTATGTGTGTATGTGTGTGTATGTGTGTGTATGTGTGTGTATGTGTGTGTATGTGTGTGTATGTGTGTGTATGTGTGTATGTGTGTGTATGTGTGTGTATGTGTGTGTGTGTATGTATGTATGTATGTGTGTGTGTATGTGTGTCTGTATGTGTATGTGTATGTGTATGTACATCTATATGTATATGTATATATTATGTATGTATAAATGTATGTATGTGTATGTATGTATGTGTGTGTCTGTGTAAATATGTGTATATATATATATGGGTTTGATTGGGTGTGTGTGTATATATTATACACCATATACACACAGACACTAACAATGGACCTTATGGCTGCTTGGGACATGCGATTTCTCCGCTGGAAAAAAATGTTCTTGACACAAAAGGCAAAGCAGGTGCATTCAGTTTGATTGAGCCACCTTCGCAATCCAGTACAGGACAATGTTTTCAACAAGAGAACTGTTCTGTTTACAGCAATCTGCAATATCATGCGCTCACGCGTGCAATAACATAAATATAGACACACACACACACGCACACACACACACATATAATTCATGTATGTCTTGTACGTGTTTATTCATATAAAGGAGAATAAAGGAACTATTCAATTTCCGGACCCGAAAGGCACAAAACAAGGCACATTTTTTGCCCAAAGCTGGCGATCCAGCTCAAAAATGACTTAGTCAGCTCATGTCAATTGCGGTTGTTGTTTGCAAATGGATAGAACCCGTTCGAAAACTGAACAGGGCTGCATGGTTTGGAGGGCCGCAACGTCCCAAACAAGGCAAGCAGCCATGCTCAGTAGGATGAAACCAGTGATGATGGCACAAGCCACGAAATCGAACCTGGACCAGTGATGGCGGCAATGCGTGGCCAGTGGATGTCAACGAATTGATTTCAATGAATCAATGGCATTCAATGGCTACACCCCCAATCATACGTGGGACGATCATCCCAGCGGCCTGGTTAGTCTGCGACCAGCATCCCGGCATTGCGAAGAGAAACTCGACATCCTCGACATCGCCTGAGACGAAACTGGAACAACTGCTGACCCCAGAGGTGGTGATTGATGGTGGTTAAGCCAACATCATCCTGACACATAGGGCCATAGGGGTCAACTTTGGGGCGCTTCTGGCTTGTTTTGAGATGATGTTGAAAGCTTCCCAGTTGATGGATGGGATGTTCATGGGACATTTACCAACTCCTGAGAGCAATGTATCTGGGCTCCAGACCGCATCAGGCCTGAGATGGTACAGCAGCTACAATCATGGCAGTTGTCAATGTGGCTACAGTATGGGTCCGAATCTGAACGCCACCTGGGTTCCCGCTTCACAACATCTTGTCAAGTGAGGATATATAATGATATATATATATATATATTATAAATATGATATGACCAGCCCAAAGATACTAAGGATTGAAAGTATTTCGAAAGTAACACTAGTTTCAAAACCCCATCATGACCTATGTTGACCTGAAATCTTTCTCCTGAGAGCCTGGCTGGCCTTCCATGCGCTGACTCAATTCGAAGGTTCCTGGACGAGGGACAGCTGCGTCGGGAGGCGCAGCTAAGCATCGAAACGTATCACTTGCAACTTGGGTCGCTTCCCACCGCTTGGGTATCGCGGCTTTCACTCATACCAGTTTATATATATATATATTATTATATATATTATATTATTTATATATATTATACATTATTATACAGTTTATAATCCATTTTACTCCATTTGATCTCTCAACTTGCCACTGAAGTGGTCATTGGGTGGCTATTCTCACAATAGGCCAATGACCCAAATTCTCACACGGCGCTCCTTCGCCTCCCAGGTCCCTGTACTTTTTTACATCCGTCCGCTGCGGTGACTGTCTCTTAAGCGCTCAGTTTCTTCAATCTCTTTGTGCCAGTTTGGGTTGCTGGGGTCCTTAGCAATGGAAATGCGGGCCATCGTTACGCAACTCAGTCTGTAGGGCCCCAACCACTCTCCAGAAGGTAAATGGGAAAGGTGCATAGATTGAACATATTCACGTCGACAAAGTACATAACCAACAAGTGGAGTGTTGTTTTTTGGACAATACGATCCCAAGTACCATGGGTGGTCAGAGTCTAGCAAGGTGACATATTTTTTTGTGTACTTGGTGGCTGGGTCCCTTGCCACACCGACATTAGGTGGATGCAGGCGGTAAGCGTCCTACTGCAAATATTCGCATTGGGTATGGCTCAATACCTGATCCAAACCACGATTCTTATCATTTCCCAACTGATTCAAGCATATTCAAGCAATCATTTGCCATCCATCTTGTGGCATAGCAACCTCCAATCGACTTTAGTAACTTACCACTAAATCTTCAGAATTTACTTTACGAAATTCATCGAAATTCCATCTTTCATCGGGAGTTGCCATAGTTAGTCAATTTGCCAGTAGGCGTTTGTGCCATTAACAAACCATATCATACATTGCTGGATACATATTCCGTTCTATCCTATTGATTGTTCAATTAACTACTTTCAAGCAGTTATAATTATAACAAAAGATGGGCGAACAACTAACTATTCATTGGATCTTGTCATTCATTCTCCCATTCATTATCTGCCACTTATACAATTGTCCCATCGATTATCCCGCTACTCATCCACTTAACTAATGACCAGTAATCTTAGTAGAGCAATGAGAACCACCATCCCCAACTTTACAATTTTTATGGCGGGTATAAACTCCATCAATCCCTGGTTAATGGCATTGCTCTACTAACATTACTGGTACGGACACCCAGTCAACAATATTACTGAGTGGTTCTGTTGTAAACCCAACTATTCTTCCTTTACTAACACACACACATATATAGATACACAACATTACGCACAAACCCCGTGGTTTGCCCGGACTGCAACATTGAGGATTCCCAGTCGTCGAACATGAGAAGAGAAATTGCACAAAATAAGGCGTATACGCAGTGTTTTGTGCTTTCGGATTCAGAGTTTTCAGGGTTTTAGGGTTTTAGGGTTTAGGGTTCGTCGTCTGCTAAATACCTAAACACGGGCCCTGCGTAGGTTTTTGAGCATGTCAAAGGATAATATTTGAACTCCATCCTAACCTTGCAGGCAAACCATAGGGTCTTCCCATAACATTAGTTACAACAGAACCATCCAGCCCTTGCCGTTGCAGTTACGGTTTTCGCCCAGCGTCTTGCTCCATGCCCTGAGCAAAGGCGCTGATGGCCATGTCGAAGCGCTTCAAGCCACGCAGCGCCACACCGCGACGATACACGGCCTTGGGCCAACTGGGAGCCACTTCTTCACCTCGCCATGGGATGCTGGGAAGGCCAGGATGGTTGATGTAATCTGAACGGTTGATGGATGTTGATGGTAGAGAGACATTTTTTTGAACCTATGTGGGTACTGTTAAATAGTCTTCATTAGTTGATAGGTTCAGAACCGGTAATATAACTCATGTGTAGAGATTCTCGGTGAATCTGGTGAAACAAACACTCTACGTGAGGATTGAAGAAACATCAACAGGATAAACTACAGTATCAAACTCCAACAAAAAATCCTAAAAGCAAAACACTGAGGATTACTAACCCACAGACCCACATCCATCCTTTTTCCGAGTCTCATTTCACAGCATCCTCCAGCGCTGCCTTGAATTGGCCTGCTGCGGCATAAGCAGCGCTCCGATTGGACAGCAAGGTCTCGCTAGTTGGAGCCCAAACTAACGCCTGGGTATACAACGCCACTGCCGCCTGACCAGGGATGACATGGGATGACCAGGGTCCAGTGGGCCATGCTTTGGTTTCAACATTTGAAATTGAAACACATGAGCAGTGCAACTCCAAATAAAAAGAGTTCAGCAAAATGCGAGTCCTTCCCAGGGTTCCAGCTTTCGGAAGTGTGGGGGTTGGAAGAATCGGAACAATGTGACCCTTGCGGGGTCTTCAACATCTTCAACTCCAATTCACACAATGCGCGGCAAACAGTCTTCTATCACAGAACATGACTTTCCCCGAAAGGAAGTATCCAAAAATACAGAACGTGACAAAACCAGCCCTGGCTCAATGCAGCCTTTCTTCATTTTTCTTCCCATTCTTGTCGTCAAATCCCCTCAAAACATTTCACAATCAGTTGCCTGGAAGTCTTGAGCCCTGAAGGCATCATCAGCCCGGCCCTTCAGCTCTTTGCTTTGGTCGGCACCTTCATCAGGCACCATTGCAGGCCGGAGATGTCACAAAAATATCTGAAGCAATGGATCCTTGCAGCTTGGGATGATAGCTGTTGTGACCACAACTTGTTGAAATATGATGAACTATGTTCTGCATGCTGAGGGGTGTTGAAATCTTGCCCGTGATTCACGGCCTGTGCGAGTTTCGCTGTCTGTTGAACAGCTTGTACCCAAGCATATCCGATGCGCGACAGGATCAAATGGCAATAGTTGCTCGCATATTCTCATTTTGGGACACAGCCATGAACGTGTTGAACGGTTTGAGCCATAACCTCCACGATTCTTGGCTACACAATGGCCACCATACCAAACAAAATCAACACTCCCATTATTTTTTACCAGGAGACCCAGATATGTTGCTTTGCAAAATGGCTTTCCACATGCTTTCCACCTGGACCTGGAATCCTTCCAATTTTGGAGGTTGTCAAATGATCTCAGGTTTTTAGCTGGCGCGCCTGCAGCAGAAGAGGAGCCAGCTTCCCGTTGCAACGCGCCCATCAGAAAAACCTCAGCTGACGGGACCTCTGCCAGGTGTACGACGGCTCCTTTTTGAGTCTCCGACCGCGGGCAGAACAAAGGAGATTGGTCCGCTAAGCAAACTGCCTCAAATTTGAAGCCCCTTGCTACATGCAAATGATGTTTCATGATGTTTCATGATGTTTCATGATGTTTCATGATGCTTCATGATGTTTCATGATGTTTCATGATGTTTCCATATCTTTCCTTTCCCATCTGTTAGAAGATGTCGTTTCACGCTCAGCGCTAGTCAATGTCTTGCAGTATATGCCCACACCTACCAAGGCCAGGAAATCAGAGAAGAAGGGAATGGCATTGGCGACCGCCCAATAAGCACATAGAAGCAGTACCTTCAACTGACAGATGTGGCAGCCTGAGGTCCGAGGTGGCTGGCATATGCTGGCATGCATCATACATGGATGGAAATCAATGCACAATACATACTATCACACATTGCGAGACAGTTTGTGTATCTTAAATGTAAGCACATGTGTCACATAATGTAAGTCATAAGATACATGAATGCAAATCTAAGTGCGGGTGTATATATCCTTCAGAGAGACATAGATAAATAGACTAGGTTAGACTTAGATGTAGATTTAGATTTTAGATATCGTAGATTTTTTTTTTGGGGGGGGGGATTAATCTAGATAGACCATGTTTAGACCATTGATAGACATAGACATGTGTCACCACAGGTGCCATGTGGCGCACTGCGCAAGTGGCAAATTCTGCTTGTGCCCGCTGGCCGCCTGACCTGGCCCGCTGTGACAGACCGTTTCAGCCGTGACAGACCAAGGGCACCGAGGCACCGGGCTCGCGCAAGGACACGTCCACCCTGCTGGGGGCCACAATTTTGTGCACCGCACCTCGCGCTTGTTCGGAACATCTCCATGGGTTTGTCGAACAAATGATGGATGATGATGGATAATGATGGATGGATATATACGCCATTTTCAGATGCACCCATATATTTCAACAACTATCAACCAACTGCAACTTATATAAGCATCAGGGTTCAGATAAGGGGGGAGGAGTTGTGCAGATGGTTTTGGTAGATACAGAGCGGAATGCATAGGGTGCACAACTACAAAATGCAAGTGCATGTACTTTTTTTGCAGCTACAAAATGAAGAACATAACTCTTTCTGGCTCGGAAAATAATTCAAAAACAGTACTACAAAATCCAATGCATCTGAAGTCAAAAAAATAGCTGAACGTCGGAATTTCTAACATGATTTTTCCCAATGACATTTTGTAGTTGGGCCTTTGCCATCCAAAGTTCCGACCAACATAAATTCGGAGAACATTTTGTAGTTGTCAATGATTGAATTTAGCTGGATCAAGTGTTGACCCCGTGCAGTTTGTTAGATGGTATTCTGTTAGATGACAAAATGCTAATGAGATTTTATGTTGGATGCTTCAACTAACTCAACATATACAACTACAAAATGAAAATGCATGATTTGAAAGGAATCAACTACAAAATGATTCCAAATACAAAATGGGGGGCACAACCCCTCCTGTTTGTACAAAAAAATCCTGGCTGGCAATCTGTACTGTAGCCCAAGTCCTCCCCATTTCGTAGCTGAAATTTGAAGGAGGATATATAAGCTATTAACTTGCAGGAGAAATTGGGGGAAAAATGAGTAACACCTCTAGTAACACCTCTAGACCATGAACCATATTAGTTTCTGCATCTACAGTAAGAGATGTGGTGCGCGGAGTAAGTGTCAAACGGACCAGCACCACATTCTTCACAAGGAAGGCAATGAGCACGTGCAAAAACAGCAGTGCCGAGGCCTGGGTTGACAACATTGATGAAAACACTGAACAGAAAATGGTCGTTTCATGTAGCTGCAGTAGCCAATGAAAGACTGTGTCGCACAATGTATGCCTATAGCTATATAATTATATACATATTCCATCATATTCCGTGATTAATATGATGAGCCTCCAAAAATGGCCTAAGAGCCCCAAAAGCATTGGGAAACCATCGAACTTGCTCCATGTTTATGGTGCTTGTCATCACCAACATCCCCAATGTGTCCTTGGCACATTGGGACGCCGCGCTATGCGGAATGCGTCGCTGTCCGGCAGATTGTCCAGAAAATAGCCTTCCGCCTGGTGGCTGATGGTCAGCCATATGATATGTCATTACCCTCTGGTTATACAACATAGCCATGGAAAATCATCACTTTTAATAGGTAAACCATCTATAAATGGACCATTTTCCATGGCTATGTTAAATAACCAGAGGATATATGGGGTTGTCTCAAAATGAGGATGCTGGATACCGTGTACCCTAAACTCGAATTGTTGATCATCACTTACCACACAAGAATGCCAATGTGGAGTGTATACACGCAGCCGCCATTTTGAGACAAACCCATAAAAACTTGGGCAAGACCGGGCAGGACCTTGTCCCCTGCAAAATGGTAACCTGGGCTGACAACACGCGCGACCGCTGTAGAATCTTGCATGTAGATACAGTATGATACAGTATGTTTTTCATTGTTTTTCGCTCTTGTTTTTTTTCGACAATTTCTCATTCCAAACAGAGAGGCTGTTTTTACTGGAGGCCTGAAGATTAGCGCAGCGTTGCGGGAGGACATCATGTTCTGAGGCTGGCACCCCAGCAAGCCACCAACAAGTAGAGGCACACCTGGGAGAAGCACAGGTCACTGATGGTCACTGCATTCTGCAGCATGCTGGTTCATGCTGGTTCATGCTGGCGTTTCAGCCTGAAGTGGAACGTTGATCAGGAAGACTCGTGGGAAATCTTCTGGCCTCAAGTGGGCTGTGCTGATGGGCTCTGCACCACCTAGTGTTGAAGGTGCCGTCATGTAAGCCCGAAAAGCACACAAAAAATAGAAAAAACAGTTGGGAAGCGGTTTCCAGATGGGACGATCCGCCAGCCCCACAGTCCCCAAAGGCTGCGACTTTTGCATGTCAACCATCAGCTCAAAGTACAACCAGTGACCTCGGTCGAAGGTTCGGCGCTGGAAGAGAAATTTGCGCTGCCTCCGAGATTTTTCTCCTCCACTCATCAGACTCCATCCCATCCCCAGGTCCATGTTGCCCGCGCGGTGATTCACACCGGTCAGGCTGGGACCAGCATAAGAATAGACCACGTTGGATGCGGCTCCAAAGACCTTATGGTGGCAGCCAGGTGCCAAATGCGCCAAATGCCCAGGTGCCAAAAGTTCCAAAAATCAAATGGAGATACCCAGCCGAAACCCTCGCAGCTGGGTTCCATATACATCCATATGCAATGCAATATTGAAATGCGATGAAATGCTGATTGAAACCATATCTATCCAACTTTGGGGTGTTCAGTGTTGACCACTGCCTACGCAAAACCAAAGAAGGACGCAACAGGCTACCAGTGGCTCGACCACTCATAATTGATTTTCAATCACTGAGGCAACTACCTCATGGATCCTCATGGTACTGGCAGGAGCCCCGTTTTTTTTACCATCAGTGGTTCTAAAATGTTCTAAAGTGGAAACACCATGAACCAGCCAAGATTGACTGGTTCCCCACCCCCAAATGCCAGGACGTCCCAAATCAATCATGGTGAACCCAGTAATCTGTGTTCGTGCCAAACGGTACCACCAGACTCTTGGTTCCATACCCCCCAAAACGACAGGTCTTCAGCAAAGGCGAAGGTATTGACGTGGCTCGGACGCCTGTACCCAACGCGGTGGTATGGCTTCAAGTTGGATGGTTTTTGGATGGTCTTTGGATGATGCTGAGATATCCGTGTTTTTTTTTTGTGTCAAGCTTTGACCCCTTCCAAAAGCAACTGGCCGCACCCAACGAAGTACATCTTGCCCATGACCTGCTACGACGCTACGACGTTCACTGCACCATTTTGGACTGGCGAGGCCATCGTTTGAGCGCCACACCACTGCAAGAACTGCAAGAATGAGGAACAAATTGATGAAGCATAAAACCACCTTCAGCTGAGGAACTCCAAAGTCATCCAACTGCATCAATGTTTCACTGTACGATGATTTTTGAGTTGGATCATGTCAAATTTTCAGGTGGTGAATCTATGGGTTGGGTCAACCTGAGATGCTAGCGGACTCAGAGAGGTGTCTCACTGACACTGAGATTGGAACGCCTCAAAAGTGATGGGGCCGTGGGGCGGCAACCAGCAGAAGTAACGGGCCTCCAAAAGATAGTCATGTGGTGAAACGAACAATAAACATACAACAAACATGCAACAAACATACAACAAACATACAGTAACATACAATACCATACAATAATCAAAATGATTACAGCATCGCCCATTTATCCCATTTGGAGTATCCAAGTTGTGATCACTAGTGAATGTCCTCTACTAAGGCACTGACATAATGCGCAGGCCACAGCCGTTGCGGTTGGCAAACACAGCTGAGATTGGAAGAAAACACCCTGCACAGCAATTCAACACTCAACACAGTCAACACTCCAAAGCTCGCTGGTAGTTTGAATCCATGTTCACTTGGAGTTCATCACAAGCAGGGATTGAAACATACAAAAGCATAGTGTACAGCAGAAAACTAACGCAATATCCAGCTAAATAAACGCAAAACTTTCCACTTTCCATGCGAACCAGGACGGTCTCCAATGACCACCTGCATGCACTGCCCCAAGATCAAAATGTAGGAAGCATTGCCTGACATGAAACGGGCTGAATGTGAACCGTTTTCGGCATTTTTGATCAGAATCACGTCGCCCTGCCCCACTTTTGCTCTTGAACATTTCAATTGAACACTGACTGCGCAGCTGAAGGATAGTACCAGCATCGCAAGTCCGGGACAAATTGACACCCAAACATTGGCCAGCGGCACCCAAAAATGCAAATCCATAGACTGCAAAGTAAACCATTCCGGCAGCTCGGTCCCCGCCAAGTGTCATCCGAGCAGCCTGGACACCGTTGATCCCGCCGGTGCTGTCCAGTTGACATGGGTCAAAATCATTGGGCCAATGGGATTCCAATTGGGATTCGCAGCACATGACGCCAGTAGCTCTGGAGATGTTCCCTGGTGGTTTTCCAGTACATGGCCCAATAATTTAAGGCCAGCGAAGTCAGAAAGCTCTGGCGAAAACCCCGTCGAGTCACTGCCAATTCATTGGTCCCGTCGCTCACAAACACCACACGCAAGGAGTTCTCAAACATAAAATTGCAAAAACCTGTGAACCCTTTTCATCCTGGCTTTGGTATTTACAAATCGCCAAGAAACTTCAAAAAGCACGTGCTTTGCATCATGTTGTGTGCATTGTTGTTTGACAGTGTTTGCAAAATAAATGTGACTTCCGACTTGCAGCATTTGTGGTGGTTCTTATGTGAGGCCTCCCTTCAACAACAACTCCAAAGGGTCCAAGGAAGCCGTCTTGGGCTGCCGTTGTTGTTGCATTGTTGTTCCATCCTCGCTCCTTCCTTCTCCTTATTTCCTTCGTTACTTCATTCTGTCATTGAATGATTCATTGATCCATTGATCCATCCATTCATGTCAGCAATCGACGCCCTGGACCAATGCGCGCATTCACTCGCCAACCGCCCCCTCTTATTCCTTCCACTCCATTCCATTTCATTCTATTCCATTTCACTTCAATCCGTCTATTCCGCTCTCTTCCATCCATTCATTCCTTTCTCCTTTCGGATCCTGGTCCCAAATATGTGGATATATATGACTAAATCAAAGTATTAAATAAAGATGAATTCATAATTTTATACCAGTTCTATGTCGGCTAATTATTCACCACTTAATAACTGGGTCGCCACATGGGTGCATTTTCAAAATTGCATTCCTGTCTCTTTTCACCAATGCTCTCTCCAAAATCCAAAAATGCCAATGCCTTGCACCGATAAACCACCGAAAACGCACCGAAAAACCAACGAAAACGCCAGAAAGTCACGAAGCATCAACCCGTGTGTCCAATATGTTTCCCATATGGTTTCATATATGTCAGATTGTTTCCCAGATTTTTCCACATGTTCCCCCCCAAAAAACATGACCACCTGGATGATCCCCTCCGAAAGCTCCAGGTTTTTCGCCTGCCTCTCCCATGGTCGCGGGACGTGCTCCAGCCTTGGCCAAGATGTTGCTGGTCCTGCCACGGGGAGATCATATATATATATATATATATATTCACTGGATTGGTTTAAGGGAAAATTTACAGGAAACCATGGTTTTTACCATCAAATATAGGGCTTTCCTGTAAATTTTCCCATCATCCAATTCTATGATATATATATATATATATAAAGCATTATATTACCATAATATGTCATAATATATCACAATAGATCATAATAGCATAGTAGATCTATCTAATCAATTCAAGCCAGTGAACATTTAATCTAATCCACTCTAATCCAATCCAATCGATCTAATCAATCAATCTCTCTATCCGTCCGTCCGTCCGGCCGTCTGTCCATCCGTCCATCCATCCATCCATCCATCCGTCCGTCCATCCATCCATCCATTCATGTATCTATCATTATCTATCTATCTAGCTGTCTGTATGTTTGTCTATCTATTTATCTATCTATCCATCTATGATTTGGGTGTGTCTGAAAATTAGGCATGCCCCCAATTTACGTCGCAGCTTTATTAGAGAACATGATGATTGACAAGTCGATTAAGGGCAAACCCATACGCCGCGATATCCCTCTATTATTGATATTCATACATACACACGCACGCACACACACACATATATATATATATACACACATATATACATATATATATACATACATATACATACATATATATATATGTATATATATATATATTTATATGTATATATATATATGCCAATGAAATATCTAAACATCAACGGTTTATTATATAATGTTTTACCATGTTTTACCCATGATACCTCCATTATTGATCATCACTGGTCCCGCCCGTCCTGGACATCAGGAGGGCTGTGTAGACAGCCACTGGCGCCAAGCCGATGATGAAGCTAATCGTTAGGACCTGCCACCACCGGGAGCTTCGCAGTCTTCGCAACTGGTCCAAATGGTGGCTGAAATTGATCCGTCCTCTGTGGATTTTTGGTGTTTTTTCTGGGGGAAGTTTTGATATCCATGTTCAAAGGTGACAGTCATATTTGGGTATGGATCCACCCGGGTTCCGCCAATGTTTCAAGACGAAACATCCAAGTGTTACTAGTTTCTGCTGGTTAGAATGCTCAATTTCCAACTTAAAATCTACTCTGTTGTCAACATCACGAAGTTGCTACGAGTAGTTAAACTCCTGATTTTTGCTGATGAGAATCCTCATCAATTGGATTCCTACAGAAACCATTGATTCTTGAAATGGTTTCTATGGCAATTGTAGATTGATTATAATAGTGAAACCCTATTGAAAACATTTGAGACCCAACTACTTGACATTTTTCCCAGCAACACCATCGACCCCATCGCCCCGCAGCCCGTCACAAAATGCCAGTGAGGCCCAGCCAAGTTGACGAGCAACGCCGGCGAAGGTGAGCACCTCGTTAATGTGCAGATGTGAAGTGCATAGCCAAGAGTCTTTGGTCTTAAAAATGCTTGCATGTTTGTGTATATACGTGTGTGCGTGTGCGCGGGCTGTATTTGATATATGGAGGTGTACACACAGATATATATATATATAAACATACACGTATACATAATATACAAACACATGTTTGAATATGCAAATGTGTGTGTGTGTGCGTCTGTCCATTGCAACACCGAGTGACTGATGTACCAACCACATCTGTGAGCATGATCCAGCTGGTACCTGCGATCATGGAGCTGCCTATTGAAATGGCATGGCTACTCTTGGGCACTAGCGAAATAAGTCGATGTCTAGCTGGGTGTTGATATTTCATTGTATTCCTTTGCTGGGCATTGAAATTGATATTGATGATATTGCATGAGATTTCAATAATCCATTGTTTCTCTCAATAAATTAACCCACCATGAAGCTCACGAAAACCTGATTGAGGGCCACCAAAATTCAACACCTGCCCTGAGCTGCCAACCCTGCCAAGTGCTTCCATGGTGGAAGGATCCAGTCATGGCTGGAGGTGTTGCTGGCTATCCAATTCGCGATTTTCAAACGTCACGCGAGTCTGGGAACGAAACGGATCACTTGTTGGATCGACATGAAAAGTCTGTAAGAATCAGAGGCTTGTCCCAAGATTTGGTGGATGGACCTGCTCTGAAAAAACTTCGGACATGTGAGAAAGGCTCTGGAAGAAGAGATGCTTGATCCAAATCTGTGACCAGCAACCGAAGCTCAAGACCAACAATTTGAAGTGTGCAGTGTGCCAGCGCGTTTTGAACTTGCTTAGAGTCCAAAGGGCCAAAGGACCTATCTCATTGGAAAAGCCATCCATTCAAAGACCGCAAAAACCTATGGTTTCCTGAGACCAATCAACTGAAGACAAATCGCTTCAGCGTGCTCTTTGTGCTCTTTTAATCCAGTAGTTTTCGCAGATCTTTGGCGAGTCCTTCTGCCACGTCAGGTGGGAAGTGGTTCTTGGCCTGTCAAAAAAGGCAGCTGCCCAGATGACCATCCCGCTTGAGCCAGTGGTTTGCGGACCCTATGGTGGGCCCATTTTTTGCCACTATTGGGATGATCATCCACAAAAGTCCAACAAGATCTTCACCTGGGAAGAAACGGAAGCTGGTTGAGTCAGAGTCTGTTGCACGGATCAAGACCAGAGACCACAAATAGAAACTCCTGCGGCCTGTTGCACGCAGGACTTGCAGAATCTCACCTGGTAAAACCTCAGAGGTTACCAAGGAGGTTGATGCAATCAGCATCAAAAGTCATCAACCAACTCTGTGGGAGAGAACCAATTTCCAAGATTTCACACTTGTGTTGGATGCCGCATGACTTCCCCATCTTTGTTACTGAGGATGATTTCTCCAACTCCAACCTGGCCGGAGCTGAGATGAAAAGCCATGAAAAGCCATGAAAAGCCATGAAAAGCCAAGAAATCTAAGGGTCCCACAGGGAGCACTTCTCGTCGACACACACGGGGTTGGCACAAACACTGCATGGTGCTCCCAGACAAATCGTCCGGACCTCTCCATATTCTTCCGGAGACCTTGGCGAATGCCAACGTTGGACGCCCAACACTTGGACCCAACAAGCCCAGTGACGGATTCTTCAGTGCATAGATGTCCTCTAGCCACCTGGATCAAAGTCATCAGCAAGGATAAACATGGACACAACTGGATAAACAATTATAAATTTGAAATGCATGGTGCATTCTTGAGCAGTTGAAGCTCTAGGCCAATTGTTGAGACGGATCCTCCGAAGTCAGTACTTCAAGCTCTTCTCAAAAAAATGAAGGGCTGTAGCAGCACAAATCAAATCATCACCACCCGCATCCATCATCCACATGGTTCATGAACCACATGAACCAACAAAATAACAAGTAAATGCCAACAGCATCAGTTGAGCCAGTCCGGCGTCGACGGCCTGATGGATGCATGTTCAAACGGCGGCTCCTTGCCAAAGTAGTCATATCCTTAGCGATGACGGAGCTGAAGCGACAGCATCTTAAGAAATCCAAACAGCCTAGACAGAGCCGCTTTTTTTTTTGGCACACCAATATCATAAACGAGCTTGACCAAAATTAATGCAAATTAACATACATTAACCATAATTCAGCTACAAACTACCCATCCAAACCTTCCTAGTAGGATTGTTTGTGCTTGAGCTGCCCTGGCGCGACGTCATGTTCCAGGGCTGGGTGTGGGGCTGGTGTCACATGGTGTCACAGTTCAAGCGCTGGGCTCCAAGCGACATCGAAATCCACAAACGGTGCAGTGGAAGTCGCCCCGCTTTGGAGGCATCTTTAGCCACTCCGTGGCTGCGATGATCGGAACCACCCGCAACTTTTTAGCCCAGACAGTCAGCAGCAGAATCACAATTCAATTCATGGGTGCTCTGTGGTTTCAACATGTTTCAACCTCCCAGCATCTTGGAGGAAACCCCAAATTTAGACTGAAAAATACTGAAAAGCAAGGACGGCCTTGAATCAGCATTTTTTCGTCAGCAACGGCTTTGCCAAACTCGTAACCAATATCCTTCCTCCTTGGTGAAACTCCTTACTTCTCACTTTGCCTTGGATTTCTTCTTGCTCACTTTGGCCTTGTTTGGCCCTTTGGAGGCTGTTTTACCCCCCAAAATGCTGTCAAGCAAACCCACCATGTCCTCATCCTTCAAAGCTTCCAAGCCAGCCTTTGTCTCATCCTCATCGGATGATGGAAGCTGCTCGATTCCCAAATCTTCGGCCTCAAAAAGATCTGCAAAAATCTGTTTCTCCTCCTTGCGCCGGCGCTTGCTGTCGCCTGCAATGCCCAACTTCTTCTCCAGATCAAGCAGCAGCGCCTCGTCTGCTGCTGCTGCCGGGTCAAAGGGACTGGCCGCTGAGGCCGCTGAGGCCTTGGGGCCCGTGGGCTTCGGAGCCTGAGGCTGACAAGGCTGGCAAGGTAGCAAGAAATGTGGACTTGACAGTTTACCAAGGAGGCCAAAAAAAAGAAACCTGCTTTATTGAACTTTATTGGAAAACGCGGGAAAATCAAAGACATGAAAGCATGTAAAAACCAAAATGACTGGAAGTTCATGATTCGGCAAGGTGCCTTATTTTCTTCGCCTTCTCTCTTGGCAACTGCAGCACGTTTTTTCTTGGGCACCAGTTTCTTCTTCTTCTTGGCGATGGTACTTTCAGGAGGGTCCGCTTTGACCTCTACCTCCTGTAGCTGCTTCTTCTTTTCCACCCTCTCTGCACGGTCTGCAGCACGATCCTCCTTGGCCTTTGCTCTTCGCTTTACCCTGGCGGCTTTCTTCCGTGCTGCCTTACCATCCTGACTGGTTTTGGCAGCACTGGAGGCGGCCACTGGCGAAGCCGCTGGCTGGTGTCGCAGCAGCGATGCCAAATGATTTGGCAATTTGGGCGCCATCACAAAACTGCTAGGATTGTTAGGTCAACATGGTCGATGCAAGGCAAGGTTGGGCAAGGTTCACAAATTCAAGAACAGGGCTGAACACCGAGCGTGACTACCATCATGTTCTGCTGGTGAATCAGATCGCAGTAGAGTCTGGGGCTGGAGACACCAATCAAGTCTTGAACAAGTTGAAAAAGTGGCTTGAAGTTTAAGATGCTGATGCTAGTGCAGCAATATTCATCTGGTCTTGATCTTGGACTTTCAGCAGCTCTGCCAAAGAGATCATTCAGACATAATCGCTGCGCATCTTCACGTCTTGCTCATTCTTGCTCTAACTGTGTGTTCTTTGGATAGTTGCTGTACCTACTGTCCCCACGCTGAATTGGCATCACATGGCATCACCACCTCAGGTTGTCTTGTGTCAGCAAACTCACCCCAAAGACAGGCATCGGTCATCATCTTCGAAATTTGTTGGTCAGAGACCAGTGTCTGACACATTGTGGCCCCCGCTACTCCAGCGCACACTTTTTTTGCCTTTCCACCTGGAGACAAAATTCGTTCAATTCTTTCATGTTGCCATCTGCACATGCTGCATGTTCACAGGCTGATGAGCCTGCCAACAACCCTTGACGAGGAGCGCCTAGCGGCCTAGCGGCCTAGCACCAGCGATGCTGTACATGGTGCAGCTCCCATCTGAGACCTAGCAGGATCCCAGTCTCAAAATCGGCCAATTTTCAGCCTATCCCCGGCGCATCAGACTTTCAGACAATACGTCAGAAGCGTTCTGTCTGGCTTACCTGGCAGATAGGATTGCAAAATAATCCAACCGGAATGTCTTTCACAGTGATATGTAAATAATTATAAATATATAGTAGATAACGATAACTTGCTCCAAATGCACCTCCTTGTATGGGACTGCCATGTGCTATGAACGAATCATGAGGTTGGGTCGGAGATGAAGAAGATCTGATCAACTACAACAAATGTTGATTCATGCACATCACTGTGTGATACCTTGCTGAGATGCCCTTCACCACTAAGTTGAGAAGCCTTGATATGGTTTGAGTGGTCAAGTTATCTAGATTTCTTGAAGTCTGCAATCGGTTTGACAAGGTCGCGATGCATAAAACCTGGCCAGGCAGTCGCTTTGCATGGTATGTCCGCGGTGTCGTCCACACGAATCTCTGCTCCATCTCCAATACCTCACCGCGCCACGGGAATGAAAGAAACACCTCGATAGCAAGGCCTTCATAATTCTTCCATGTTGTACTCACTGGGGCACCAAAGAAGCCCAGCTCCCTCACTTCGTCGTCCAGGGGAACCCCAAATGGCAAGCCATCATCCGCCAAAGTGAGCGTCAAGCGGTCCAATGGGACCTGCTATGAAGCGCACTGAGCTGGACACTAGCCAACCTTGATCAACCTTTGGGGTAAAAATGTGCAAATGAAGTTGAACCATGCAAAAATAGATTAACTATTGACAGTTTTTTTCCCCCTAACTCTCACCATGATGGGGAAATCTCCAAGTTCGATAGTTGAACCTGATTCACAAAACTGGAGGGTTCTCCCCAGTCCCATTGTGAAACCACCTTTTTTGATGAATCCCCACCTGCTTGAAGAGGAGATGCGCCAGTCTCTTGAGTTCTGCCACCGTCATGGTGTGAGGCACCTGGAAAAATGGAGCTGACGAGGATGGGAGGATGGCTTCAGGCACTGCGCATGTTGTTGTTCTGAAGTTGCCTGGTTCAGGATGTTCAGGAATCAAAATAATCAAAACAAATAAAGTTTACAACGGTAACAACAAAGAAAATTCCAACCCCTGGGTTGGAGGGGCATTCAATTGTTAATCCATTCATGCCTATTCCATTCCCATTCAAAATTTCAAAATCGTTGAACCAAGCCTTTTTCTTTGTGACGGGTTTCTCCACAATGGCTGCTCCCACTGGCCGCAGTGTGACCTGAAGCAAAACAAGAACAGGAGGAAACACTAGCAGCGGACATCCAATCATCCCATCTTTCGGAGCCTTTTCCTTGTTTCCTTTGTTGATAGTAGTTGATGGTACTCGATGCCATTTGATGGAGTATTCTGATGGTATTCAGGAGTATTTGATTGTATTTTGATGGTATTCTGATGCAATTTTCTGATTGTATCGTGATGGTTCCCACCTTCCGATCCCTCTTCAGCGCCTCCACCAGCGCATTGAAAAGAGCCGATCTCGAAGCTTGCGAGTGCTCAGTGACATCGCCTCCGACCTGAAGCGTCATCGGAATATGTTCATATTAGTCATGAAATATATTAACGCTTGGCTTTGGTACCTGAACATTATGGATTTTTCCTCAATAGATATATATATATAATATATAATATATATATAATATACATATATATATAATATATAATATAATGCATATATATATATATTATGTATTAATATATATATATACAGATATATCTACACACACACATGTATATATATAGATATACATATATATCTACATATATATATATATACAAATATTATCTACATATATATATATATAGTGACGGACATATACTTAGAACATCATTTTTTCCAAAATTTCGGAACCTTTTCTTAGAACATCAAAGCAACTACACTTAGAACATCAGAAATGTTCTAAGTACGCACTTAGAACATCAGAAAAACAGATACTTAGAACATCTCCTTTGATTTTTTGCATACTCAGAACATTAAACACACATATACTTAGAACATGTCCTGTTACTTTGGTAAATCTGCATATATACACACAAATACCTTGGTGAACACCATACTTAGAACACTTTCTCCCCTCACTGCTGCAGCATTCTATACCTTTTCTTCGGGAACAATATCCCAAGCAGTCTTCGCTGCAATGGGAAGGTCTCTAGTATATAATTTGTGGGTTTCCTACAGCGGGTAGTCAAAAAGCATAGGTTTCAATACTAAAATGAGCTAAAATGAATTATGTATAATTTTGAATGTTTTGGAGATGCCTCATTATTGGTTCCCCACTGGGGTGTTCTAAGTATAGCTTGGAAATGTTCTAAGTATAGGTTTTGGGTATGTTCTAACGACTGAATACTTAGAACATCCCCGCTGTGACGATTTTCAGATTTTTTTTCCAAATGATGTTCTAAGTATTTGTCCGTCGCTATATAAACAATCACACACACACATATATATAATTGATATGTATATATACAGTACACATAATTCTCATGTTAATTCATTTATAGGATATGTCCAGGTGAAACATCCCTTTCAAGCCATGGAATTTGTTCGGCCAGGTTTTCTACGGATGTTTCACCGCCCCTCTCAGAGGCCAACCACCGTGCCGTGGATTGATCGCAAGCGCTCCACCTCGATCCCATGACTGGATCATTCATGGAACTCAAAATCATGGAATTTCCATGGGGAAAACCATAGGAAAATCCATGGGAACACGCACTTTAGACACATATTGATGCTTCACCGTTTAAAACCCGTTTGAACAAATGTAAATGCTAACATTGTCATGTGTTGTCTCCGTTCATTCACGCTGTCCTTGAACGCTCCTTGCTTTGCACTTTATTTTGTTGAATTTGATTTCATGCATTCATGCGCTCATTTAGTGCGTATCATTCATTCATCATGGTTGCTGTCATCCTGAACATGGTCCAGCCAAATACCACATAAACAAAGCCGGGTGGCAACTAGTGGCAACTATGTTCACCACCCATGTGGCAAATTGGTCAAGGAAAACGTAACGCACAAACACGGAAAAATCCTTCTTCGAAAGGAAAAACCCCACCACAAAGCCTAGCCTAGTGCAGTCCTGTAAGGAGCAGCTCATGTTTATACCTGCCCTTTCGTTTGTCTATCCTTCCATCTATGTTGCTCAAATCTTCAGCCACCCCGAGGCGCAAACGTGCTCCGAGATAGCGCAAGACTCCGCAAGGCCCTTGACCTTTGTGAGTCATGACATGTCCATAGGATCCTTCTGCTTTCTTCCATATCTCAGATATCTCACAGGACCTGTTTGCAACAACAGACTCTCGAAAGAATACCGATGTCACCACTGGTTCAGTTCCAACAAGATGCAATCCCTTCCTCCATTAATATCAACCCATTAACCCGAACCTCCCCGGAAACTATGGTAAAAAGGCGCCGGCTCCAGAGTGACCTTTAGCGTCTCAGGCAATGGCAATGGGACTGTCTTGCTGCGCGATGGAAAGGAAGTACCTTGGCAGTCTGAGAGAGGTTTTCCAAATGTCATTATATATCCATTAATCCATTTATATCCAAAATGTTTGTTGATAAAACTCATCAGAGTTGATTGTTACAAAAAACGTATATTTTTGTTCGTATATCACACACGCATATGCAGTATATATATATACATATACACATATATATATATTTACTTATTATACGCATTGTCTTGGTCTTGGCTGAACAAACGCGCGGCTTTGATCAAGGTTACCCATCTTGTCTGCCTAGGTTTCGCTTTTGCCTGTCATCCTACCCTGTAACGAAAGCCCCCAGAAGCTGGGTTCATTGCCTTTCAGCTGCTGTTCGCTCCTTGAATCAAACATAGTTTTGTTTCGGTTTCCCAAGTGACAACCTCAAAATATCTTCAAATCAACCGAAGCCGAAACATGAACCACCATGAACCACCAGTAAATAGTCATCATCTTCAGCCTGTTTGAAACCAAAACAGTAAAAATCTGTGAGCCATACCTGCCATGACCTTGTCCGAAGGTGAATCTCAGCGGTTGATGTGTGCCTTCACAGTCACTTCCGACGCGTTGAGTCGCAACAATGTGGGCATCAGCGCAATGAGGATCTGCCGTGGCCACAGGGTCCACAGGGTCCGGAGCTGCAAAAACTTCAGTGGATAATGGGCTCACAAATCATCACAAGAAGTGAAGGTGAACAAACATACTCATATAATCACATATATATATATCATACACTCATATCACTTCACATCTGATACCTGGCTTGAGATTCTACGTTCTTTCTTTCTTTTCTTTCCTTTCTTTCGTTTCTTTCAATTTCTTTCCTTTTCTTTCCTTTCCGTTTCTTTCTTTTTTTCTGTTCTTTTCTTTTCCTTATTTTCTTTCTTTTCTTTCCTTTTCTTTCCTTTTCTTTCCTTTTCGTTCCTTTTCTTTCCGTCTCTTTCTTTTTTCTTTTTTCTTTTCTTTTCTTTATTTCTTTATTTATGTCTTTTCTATCTATCTAACTATCTATCATACTATCCAACTATATATCTATTTATCTATCTATCTATCTATCTATTTATCTATCTATCTATCTATCTATCTATCTATCTGCCTATCCCTCTGTCTGTCTGTCTGTCTGTCCGTCCATCCCTCCATCCATCTATCTATTCAATTTCACTATATTTCACTATATAGTAGCCGCGAAAACTTATTAACTCACGATCCTCCTCTGCCTGTCTCAGCAGCATGGGGGATGCCAAGGGTGAACCCGAATCCGTCAGTGGTATTCTTTGCACCTGCGACAGGCAACGGGTTGCCCCGCAACCGCTGCCCTCAGCGGTCATATCCGGCCTTGAGCTCCAGGAGTGCATAATTTGCCAAGGCACCGATGCTGCGCCAGGATGCCTATGGCCATAGCGCAGCTTTTCATGGATAAACTGAGCTTACTTATAAGGGAAGAAAACACACACACACACAAGATCACAAAAGCACCACAAAATACAGAACAAGTACGAAGAGATCATTCAGGTACATAGACATCATAAAAAACGCCCACAGAAATGTAAACGGAAGGAACATGCAAGTTGCTGCAGAGTTACCAGTTTGTTCTCGTTCAAGAACAAGCCCTAAGTTGCTTCAATTTGCAACCCAAAGCTCCACTTCCAGAAGGGTCCATGCATTTTATGGCTTCTCTCCAAATTGGGGACCCCCATATCATCATCAGTTTCCACTTTCCACGCTACAAAGGCCATTTTGGGTATGCACCTTGTTGAGACATGCTATTTCCAGCAGTCAGGTTGGATGAATCCTTAAGCCTTGACTGCACCTGAGGCCTCAACCGTCAATCTTCGAGGTGTTTGATCAGCAGCGGCTGCTGTAAGCCCCTCGATGCCTGGCAGTGCGCGTACAGATATTGCGCGCGCATCGCATCTCATACAGCTAGGTTTGAAAAGAACACATTTGCTGTGACATGGTCACTGTGGCTCTCCGCAGTGATTGCATGTGTATGTATATATATATAATTATATATACACAGAAAGAACTAGGGTCACCAGCATTAGCATAAGCATCAGCGCAGCATCAGCTCCCGATCATCCTGACCATCCTGATCATCCTGATCATCGTCGTCATCATTATCATCATCATCATCGTCGTCATCGTCGTCGTCGTCATCATGATGATCATGGTTGATTAGCTCTCTGCAGCTGTTATTAACACCATTATTAAGCACGCCCGGGCTCAGGTCGCTGCTCTCGCCCAACAAGTTGTTGTTCAAGTGCAACGCCTGCAGCATCAAGGTATCGGTCAACATCAAGGTCCCTCAAAAAATGTTAGTGGTTCCCAAAAATGATCAACATTGGATCAAACTTGGAGGTCTACCTCTCAGAATGGCTAAAGATGTGGCCCCAACTAGCTCCAAAGAATTCCAAAGATCTCCCAAATACACACATACCCATCTCACTTCTTGTCATCTTGCCTTATGTTACCTTTTAATATTTTTATTTTGGATTCTGGAGGAGGGGTTGCCAAGCGCAACGGTGTGCCGACATGCTTGGGCAGGCGACTAGCCTGACTAGCCCAAAGGATTCAGGCATTGAACTGCCCTTGCCGCACACCAAACACCCCAAGTTTGCACTGCCTGCAATGAGGGGAAAGCCGCGATGGCACGACGCCTGTTCATCCACAGCACATGCCAGCATACACCTTCGATCACCCTTTGACCAATGACCATATACACCTTTGCTTCATCTTCCTACTCTCTGCTCAGGAGCCAGCAACACGGTCCAGTCAGAAATCTGATTGCTGTCCAACACCTGCCAGCATCAAAGCTTCTTCTGAGTGCCAAAAGCAATCGATGCATCGCAATGAATGGAGAGAACGGCTGCTTGCTTCATCAAACCCATTGAACATGTTGTGTTTGTCTGCGCAGGGTGCCCGATTCCATTGGCTAATGTCAACCCTGGATTAATAACCCCCTAGGCCATTTAATTGGGAAGGTACCATTTAAGTATCAAATCATGACTATTGGGGGAATACCCCCTAATTAATAAACCATGGT